TGACTTTCAGGCATCTAACTTTTCTAAGGATGGTTTGAAAGCTAGAAGCCTTTGGTAAGTGGCTGAGCCTTAATCAGTGGGTGGGGCATTCATACAGGCCAGGGCTTTATAAAGCCTGTGCTGCTCTGGAAGCAGATTGGAACTGCTTTGAGTGGGACATGCTGAGTGCTCTCCCTATTCCTTTATCCCTATTCTTCTTTCTCTTTTTTGCTACAAAACAAAACAAAAATGTGTCAGGATTTTGAATTCTAGTTAACACCTATGTTTTTAGGGTGTCATTAATTCAGGAACTCCTTGTCCCATTTACCTCAGTTTTAATATGTGTAGTCCATCTTGCTGCTGGACCTAACTTACCAATTTTGAAATAGACATAACTTCTTTTGCGGTTTTCGGAGGACAGGATAAAATTCAGACTAATAATGAAAAATTACCTGTAACCTGAATGATGAAGTGGCTACTACCTCTCTGGAATAGGAGTGGGCCAAACAAAGGTTCAAGGTAACTTTTTTCCAGACAAATTATTCTCCCATCCTCTCTTAAGATGTGGAGATGTGGAAGCTTCAGATCAAACACAAGACAACTTTCATAATAAATGTATCCCAGAATATTTTAACCACAGCATAGCTACAGAGCTAGATATTACATACAGCAGAGAGAGAAATTCAGAGATACAGGAAAGGGAGAACTGATCTGTATTCAGATGGGATTTACACAGAGGTGGAAAGCTGGTGTAATGAGAGGGATGGTTCAGGCAGCAGATGTTTCTCACAACCCCAGCAGGGAGATTACGAGGAAGGAGAGAGCAAAGTGAGCAGGGGAAGCAGGTGGAACAAGTCCAAGGAGGCATGTGGAAACAGGGAGGATAATTCTGAACTGGATGGTGAAGTGAACTGGGCACCGGCAGGGTGTGATTTGATTAGAATATTTTGTATTGAGGGAATGTAGGCAGCAGCATTCTGCACATGCTGGAATCTGGGGAGCTGGGGCTTGGGAAGCCGGAGGGAGAAGGGAGCTGCAGTAGACCAGGTGAGAGGAGATGAATAAACAAAAGGAGTTTTCAGCAGAGGTGGAAGTGAGGCCTGGCATGGACAGGCAGAGCGGTGGATATATGGACATGGGCACCATTTGGATGATGCAGGTTATGAACAGTGGAGTCATGTGGAAGCTCTGACTCAAAGAGGAAGTCTGAGTAGAGGTTGAGGCCTCCCCAAGAGAAGCACTTTGGCCACAGAGACAGTTTGCTGAAGGAAGCTGAGATGAAACCACCAGTTTACTTGGCCAAGAGGACACAGTGGTTGGACAGGAAAGGGCTACTAAAGGTACTCAAAGACACAGACAGCAGAGAGAAAGGAAATCCAGGGCTCACTGAGGGCGTTCTTGTGGAAAGGCTATCAAAGGCAGCCCTCGAAGGACTGTCCAGATTGATGGAAGACTGAATCAAGGGAAGCTTCATAGGTACACTGGAAGGGCAGCACTAGGCCTATATGAGAGGTGACAGTACGTTTTATACAGCCATGGGGTGATAAGCTGCCCAGACCATATACAGAGGGATCAGTACTAGGGTTGTGGAGATGACTCAGCAAGGGAACAAAGTGAGTGATCACTGCTGTTTGTTGCCCTTTCATTCCTACAGCTGGTGAAGTGCCCAGTTTTCACATGGCTGGAAGGGTAGCAAAGATCAAAGCATGGAAACAGGCTCTCGTCCTTGTGCAGGGTGGGAAAAAGAGTCCTTCTGGATCCCCTCACTTTCTCTCCATTTCTTCCCTGCTCCCTCAGTGACCTCACATCACAGTGACACCCTCCCCCACCCCAACAGCCCATGAACTCCCATCAATACCACTTCCAGTGCTGGCCAGGCTGGGTCACTGCAGAGCGAGGTGAGGCCATCCCTACTCTAGGGGCTGAGTGTGCTGCCTTGGAAATGCTCCCAGCCTGTGGGCCTGAAGAGAGAAAGTAGAGGGGATACTGGCCAGTGACAGAAGGGCAGGTCTCTGCACATCCCTGGGCCCTGAGGGTCTGGTCAGTTTGGGAGCACTCTGAACTCAATCTCGCGCCCCCCTCCCCCCATCGGATACCAACAGCCTGCTGGTTCAGGCCCTGGTGTCCCTGTGTTTAATATGCATTGCTAGTCTATCTTAGCAATTGTGAAGTGGTGCCATCTGCCTGCTGGTGAAGGTTTGGGAGGAGCTCCTCTCTGGTGCTGTCCCAGGCAGCAGGATCTGCGACAGCACATGGTGGACATGGAAATGAGTACAGAACCTCCAGACAGGAGGAAACACAAAGCTGGTATTTAATTGAAGCTATGAGATTGGGCCATATTTAAACGCATCCATTATTAGAAATATGGTCCTACATTTAATGCAAATAGAATAAATCATTCATTGACATATGAACTATTCTATTCACATTAAACATAATTTTAATGCCAGTAAGTGTTACTGGCTGTCAGAGGAAAGTTACAATATGTGCCATTTTCTCTTACCATTTGTAGGTGTCTGGGTTGCACTGTTTAGTATCAGGTGGTTATAATTTTGTTCTTGGTCATCTGAAATTCACAGAAAAAAATCCTTTTAAGAAACAGCTCAGCGAATCCACTGATCTGCAGACGATAATTACAGTTCACATTATTCACAGGAAATCTCAGCATGATTAAAGAAAAGAGAAGAAAATGCTTAAGAAAGCAGAAGAGTCTTTCATGTTATTCACTTAACATTCCAGATGCTAGAGGAACATGATAATGGAAAACTGCCTCCATTCTGTTGAGCCTGCAGAATGGAACGTCTGCAAGGTAAAAAGCACTTTTAAGTAGGAATAAACCATGACATGGATTTCAACATCCAGGGTGGGACCCTGAGAGATCCTGGGTTCCAGTAACTCCCTCTGAAGCCACTAGAGTGATCCATGCCCACTGAATAGAGTTCCTGGTCTGTGTCCTGACATTCAGAACCTCATCTGGGATTGTTCCTGGCTATCTGAAAAACATGTTCCCTCTGTCACTAGCTACATTCCCTGGGAACAATGAAGATAGCAACCAGCAAGACTCAGATGTGCCGGAGGCTAAGTTTTCATAGGAGCTGGACCTAGACAACAGAGCTCCCTCCTACAAGAGATGAGAATGACCACAGGCTTCTTTGCATTCAGTACTAAACACATTTTGCTGCAAAGAGACAAAAAAGGATTAACAGCAGTATCACCCACCACCACTACTACTAATATAGTAATAGTAAATCCTCTATGAACTGCAAAGCATCTTTCCCACTGTAATAAACAGCAGCATAGCACTAGGCAAGTAGCCACTAATCCCTACCATATGTTTGCATACGTTTCCAGGCAAGCCCTTAATAAGTAGCGTACATGCTTAGGTTGAATCATCACCATCAGATATATCGTCTTATTGGGGAGTCTAATCCTGCTGTTTTAAAATGCAGAATTTCTTGCTGCAGACAGATTATGTGGTCAGAGGTGATTTATTTAGGTGGTGGTATACCAGATACCTAACTCAACTGAGATTCCATCAAGGAGACCAAGAATATTAACCCAACCTTCAGCAAGTGGCGAACAAGCCTCAAAAGTGTGGAGGTTCGATTCAGACAAGCATCCAAATATTCTGAACCTCGCCAAACCTTTTAGAGTGAGCCAATGGCCTGGAAATCTCCTCAAATGCACCATTCTCCTGAGACCCTCCAATGCTGATGGATTTCTGTGGGTTTGGAAATGCTGCAAGAATAGTTTTCCCTACAGCATTTCTGTTCATCCCATCAGATCCTGACAGACGACAGGAAGTGGCAGATGTGTGATAATCAAAAGTATAAAATAAAACACACTAAACGTTCTGGAATCTCACAAAAAGCCTAGATGGCTTTCACCGGTTCGCAGATTCCAAGGCCAGAAGGACCTAGACCACAGAGCATTGTGATAAGCTGGTCTGACCTGCTGTATAAGACAGGTCAGAAACCTTCCCCAGCAATTTCTGCATTAAGCCCATCACTCTTGTCTGAGCTAGAGCAGATCTTTTACAAAGATACCCAGTCTTAAAAGATTTCAAGTGATGGAGAAGCCATCCCATCTCTAGGTAAGTTTGTTAGTCACCCTCACTGTTCAAAAAATTGCACCTTATTTCTAATCTGGATCTGTCTAGCTTCAGCTTCCAACAACTGAATCTCATTCTACCTTTTCCTACTAGATTAAAGAGCTTTCCCCAATCAGAAATCTCTTCCCCACATCGGGACTTCTGTGACTTTTCTTGGATAAACTAAACAGACCGATCTCCTTAAAAGTGAAAAATCCACCATCTGGGCCATACAATTCAGTCAGATGTGATTTCTGACAAATCCATGCAGAGGTGTGTATTGAGTTCTGTAGTGAAAGTGGAGTCAAATCCTTTTAGGCCTGATCTTGCAAGGGGAGGAGCACATGGGGCCTGACTTCAACGGGCTTTGGGTCAGACCCCTGCTCAGCACTTGCAACTGTTATTGACTTCAAGAGCTGTTGTAGGTTCTCAGGAGCCCGTCAGATTGCCTTAGGCTGAGCATCAGTCTCAGTCTCAAACCAATTACTTTGCTGGTTGCGTTCATTTTTTTTTTAAAGTTGCAAGTAAATCCACACCAATCCTGGTGCATTTTAAAATGACCCTTCTTTGAAATGTGTCTTTACAAACTTCCCCACCCCACTCCCATCTCCTCATTGGAGAACATCAGCATTTCCACAGTTAGGCCTCCATTCTGCAGCTGTGCTGTGCAGGGGACCCTGACACCTGCTCTAAGCTCCACTGGGTTGCACACTGATGGAGGATCAGTTTGCAAAATCAGAATCTAAGAGACCAGCTCGGGCTAATTTAGACATCAAAGCAATTGTAATGCCAACAGACCCCAATCGTTGGTGGGTGAGATGGAACCTGGGACCTCTGAAGCTTAGTGCATGAGCTTCTACCGCATGCTCTAAAAGCCATGTGGCCCTTAGCTAAAGGTGTAGAGCAGACTCACTAGAGGGGACAGAGCACCACACTCAGGAGGTGTGTGGGTTACACATAGGGTGACCAGATCACAGGGATGAAATATCGGGATGCGGGGGGGGGCGCGGAGCAAAAAAAAATGGCGGCGGAGAAAAAAAAAAACAAGTTTCGCAGGGGCGGGGGCATTAGCAGGCCCCAGCC